ACTGAGTTTCAATCTAATGTTCAGCTTACATATAGAACACCACATTAACCCCTTGGAAGAGTTCAGAGAAATCTAGAATGTTGCCACTGCTTTCAAATAAATTCCAACTCAAATTTTAATTTACATACTTAAAATATAACCATAGGGGAGAGTATGAAAATAAGTGGTAAATATAACAGGAATTCAGAAGCAGAAAAATATCCCTGTGGAGTGAGGTGGCTGGTGAGATTTCAAAAGGAAAATGGAACTTGAGGTAGGAAATCAAGGGTAAAAACTATTCAGATAAGGTCAGGGTAAACAAAGTCAGGATTTAGGATGAGGAAGTCTGACCATGGAGCAGACAGTATGGGATTTGAATACCTCTTGCTTTATTCACTTCTACTAACTCCAAATTATTATTTTTTAGGTGTAAACAACACTATTTTATACATAGGTAATTTTCCTGAGAAGTAGAAGTGTGTCACACCAGAGAAAAATTTAGAGCTAAATTTCCATGAAATGGAAGGTAAGGGAGGGGAAAATCCAGTGTGAGGTGAAAGTTGTGTTTTGTTCTGGAGAAGGATAAAATTTATTTTCTTTTATAGAGACAGGGTCTCACTATGTTGTACAGGTTGGTCTTGAACTCCTGGGCTCAAGCAATCTACCCACCTTGGCCTCCCAAAGTGCTAGGATTACAGGCATGAGCTACCATACCCAACCTCAACTAACTCTTTATGTGGAAAAGAGTACAAATGTATTTATTATTTAACTTCTTATGTGGAAAAAAGTATAAATATATTTATTATTCTACTTGCTTCCATATTATTTTTTAATTTGAGTGCCAAGAGTTGGAGTTACCAATTCAGATAACCTTTCTCTATATTAATCTTAGGAGACATGCTGCCTATCCCTACCACTGGCCCTTGGATGAGTAAAGACTACCTTCTCTCTCTCAGTAGTATTCACATCTCAAAGAAAGAGGGAGTAGTATATCCCCAGAGAAAATAGGATTTTTTCCCCTCCCAGAAGCCTCTGGGTTTCTTATGCAAACTGATCTACCTTTGAGCCAGTAATCAGCCTCACATTCCCAGAATCACAGTAAGTGACAGATGCAATGGAGTCATAAAAGATATTTGCTATACCCTCATTACAGGGCAAACATCCCTGCCTGTCTTACATTTGCATAAAGAATAGGGCTACTCTAGTGACTCTTCAAGAAATACATAATAGCCTGGGCGTGGTGGCTTGTGCCTGTAATCCCAACATTTTGGAAGGCCAAGGTAGGAGGATTGCTGGAGCTCAGGAGTTTGAGACCAGCCTGGGCAACATAGTGAGATCCTGTGTCTACAAGAAAATAATAGTTGGTATAGTGGCGCACATTTGCTGTCCCAGCTACTCAGGAGGCTGAGGTGGGATGATGGCTCGAACCCAGGAAGTTGTGGCTGCAGTGGGCCATGATCACGCCACTGCAGTCCAGCTTGGGCAATAGAGTGAGAGACACTACCAAACAAAAAAATAAAATAATAATAATAAGCTTCTTTTACAATCAATGTTTTAAAACATCTTTCTCTGCTATTTGTATGTATCCATAATACCGCCTTGGCACATAGTAGATGGATCAAAACATGTTAGTTCTTTTACCTTCTCTCTTTAGTTACCACCATTCCTGGTATCAGTCCCAGTTCTTCTAAGAGTATTTTTGATCCAAGAGCTGTTTTCTCTTGAAACCTACATAATTATTTTCCATTCAAATAAACCAACATGAGAACAATAGAGTGAAGAAAAGGGGTGTTTAAAGCTAAATCCAAGACTGAGGTCCAAGACCAAGAAAAGTGGGGCGGAAGACGGGAAAGAGCAAGCAAAGAATCTTGGAAACAATTCAAAGGTACATTGGATGCTTTGCTTGTAATAAGAAATGCAAGTTGGGGTTACTTCTTAATGTTCAATGTTAAAATGTCTTGAGTCTGATCTTTATCAAATGTATTTTTTTATCCTTGGATAGTTAGACATTTTTCATATGTCAGGAAATCATCTATATTTATTCTACACAAATCGATAAATCAAGATGTCATATAGAACAATTTTGTTGGTAGAAAATTTTATTTTTAAAAACTTTTTAAAAACAGCTCAGAATTATCTTGAACATACTACTGATTTAAATATTATGAAAAATGTTAAACATTGACAAAAGTGTTATGGAAAGACTAGCATAATGAGCCCTTATAAATGCACCACCCAGATTTAAAAATTTAGCTATCCTCATTTTCTTTCTTTTTGTTGCTAAAGTATTTGAAAGCCACTCCAGGACCTCATGGGACTTCATCCTACATACCAGTAATTTTACTGATTTTTAATTAAATTATTGATTAAGTGGTTAACAGAAAACAGGATGTTACAGGAAGTATCTAGTGGGGTGCAGAGTCTAGCAATTAATCTTTTCTCATTTAATCAAAGAGAGCAGCAGGGCTCTAGTAAAATCAATTACGTTTAGAAATGGAAATTTTTAAAAATTCAAAAATAAGGAAGCATTTTAAGTATGTGTACAGCCCTTGCTTCTGTTTTCCTTCCTCTTGACATATTCCCCATTAACAACTGGCTACTTCTCATCTCTTTCGCCCCTCAGGGTAACCAGGATCTATGTAAATCATACTTCTTAACTCAGTAAGAAATTGGCAGGGTCCTAGGACATAGTTCCAAGTAAGTTTTATTTTTACAGCAAAATCCTGACTGTTCTATCTGGGAGAACTTTCTAGTCCTTTACATGTTAGCACTATGACTTATGCTAATATTATAAGTGTGTAATTATCAGTATTTTAACATATTTTTTGTTAGTTTTACCTGAAAAAGGAGACTAAGAAATAAAATGCCCAATATTGATAAAGATACATATTATTGATATTTTCGTGTATTTTTGTTGGGAGTATATAAATTTGAACCACAACCAGTGTGACAGTAATACTTGAGTACAAAGTTTCAATATTTGGTATCTTAAATTTTGTTAGCTTGTTTATAACTAAGCGAATAAAAAATATTAATTGGAGATGACGTTTCCTCTGCCACAAGAGAGAATGTTGATTTGTTTCATTCCAGCCTCTCCCTCCTTTCTGCCAGAGGAGAGTCATCTTCTGCCAGACTTTTGTGATGTAGAATTCAAAACTGGGAAAGGGAGGAGGTAGGGAGAGAAAAACTAAATCAATCTGGGATAATTTTAAAAAATAACTGATAGAGGTGGGAATAGAGAAAGAGAAAGCAGCTGAGAAAAGGGGGAAATGGAATATTGGATTGTGGTTTATAAATAAGAGGCTCCAGAATAATGTGGGGTTGCAGAGAATTGAAAAGAAGAGGAAAATGTGGGAAATGTTACTGAGGCATAAGAATGGAATTTAGTCACAATCGTAGAAGAGAACCAAGTAAATTATTACAAGTCCTTCCCCCCCCGCCCCCCCCCCCCCCCACTGACAGTTTCTTTGCTGATACACGTTCTTTGACAATATGATTTTTTGGTTTTGGTTTTGGGTTTTTTTTTGGAGGCAGAGTCTTGCTTTGTTGCCCAGGCTGGAGTGCAGGATTGCGATCTTGGCTCACTGCAATCTCCACCTCCTGTAGTCAAGCAATTCTCCTGCCTCAACCTCCCAAGTGGCTGGGACTAGAGGTGCACATCACCATGCCCGGCTAATTTTTTGTATTTTAGTAGAGACGAGGTTTCACTGTGTTGCCCAGGCTGGTCTCAAACTCCTGAGCTCAGGCAATCTGCTGGCCTCGACCTCCCAAAGTGCCAGGATTATAGGCACTGCACCTGGCCAACATCTTTTTAATGACAACATAGCATTCTATCCATTGAATGTACTGCAGTTTGATGTATTATTCCTCTATAATTGGATTTATATTATTTCCAACTTTCTGCTATTTAAAAAACACTGTGATGAATATACTTATGCTTACAGCTTCTTTCTTAAGATTTTTTTCACTAGGATAAATTCACAGCAGTAGAATTATGGTGTGAAAGTGATAAACGTTATATTTTGTTAAATTATTGTTTATTTAAATGTATCAATGTACATAATCCCACCAAAAATATATGAGACTATCCATCAACATGTACCATCAACATTGGCTTCCTGCTTCATTTCTTTCCTCTCATTTTTTGGAAAAGCTGTTTTGTATTTGTTTTGGAATAAATTTAAAAAGAACAAAAACAAGCTCTACCCTGATAATGATAATCTCGAGCACTTTTAGCAATGCAAAGAGAACTCATTGACTCACAAAGTCTCCCTGCCCTATTTCATGTATCTTATTTGTGCCTGGCAGCAATACAAAAATAAGATCCAATCTGTTCTGTAAAAAATGCCCTTCAAATATCTGAAGATAGCTGCCTAAGTAGTCTCTTTATGCTAAAAAGCCACAGTGATTTTAACCTTTCCACAAGCAACAGCATTTTCGACTACTTCGCTAAACTGCTCAACTTTGTCTACTAAAAACCCAAAAATTCACCGGGCATGGTGATGCGTGCCTGCGGTCCCAGATACTCAGAAAGCTTGAGGCAAGAGAATAACTTTAACCAAGAGGCAGAAGTTGCAGTGAGCTGAGATCACATCACTTCACTCCAACCTGGGCAACAGACTGAGACTCTGTCTTAAAAAAATAAAAAATATAAATAATAATTTAATTGATAACAATTCTATAAATGATTGATTTGAACTGAATCCAGTGGAACTATTACTTTTCTTGATTGAGATGTTTCCTTTAGTGCAACCTAAGGATTTGTTTTAAATTACAATCATTACTAAATAAGAGAAATAACATTGTTCTGTAATCTTATCATCTGTGTATGGAAAAGATAATTGTGTATCAAAAAGAAAGAAAATGCTTTGATTCCTGTAATGACTGCTTCCAGGAAGGCAGTGTCACATGGAACCTCTTAATCTCAGCATCCGGAGTTCCAGAAAGGGAACATTTCAAGCCAGATAGAATTCTATATATACCATTTCTTTGGAACCTTCAGCCCTCAAGATTCCAACAGCATGACCTCAGTTTCAATATAGTTGTCCTTGGTTCTCATGTCACTGTTTTGGTGCTGCCTGTTGTTGAAGCAGAAGAAGCCCGTAATATAATTGCTCTCTTGTTAGATGTGGTTCTCAGCGTTACAGGCATTTGTGTTTACTTGCGGATATTTGCTCTAGAAAGATATGGACAGGTGTGACTTTGAAAGGCCTACTGAATCAAGCCTCAGCCTGAAAACCTCTGTGCTATTGAGGCTAAACCTGAGCTTTGGTCTGGTTTTACAGTTTGAAAGTCTGACAGTTTTCAAGAATCAATAAATAGGGAAGTTTAATATTCTTTATTGTGTTCATGAAATGGGATCAAATAGATATATGTATATGGAAAAAGAAAAGTTTTCTTTACATCAAATAATGCACTGAAAAATGCAGCCTTTGATTTGTATTTACTGGTCAGAAGGAAGACAAAGAAGTAAGATGACTATTATGAAATTTTCATAATATTTCATAGTTTTAGAATTATCAAAGGACCTGAAATAGAAGGAAGTTCTTGCCCAGAGTTCTAGGAAATCACCACTGTTCACTTGTAATCACTGTCTTTTGAATTGTTTCAGAGTCTTTTCTCCATATTTTTATTAGATTTTTGTCTTGTTATCTCCCAAGTTAATATTGTATTTAGACACCAAATAGCCAAAAAAGGGAAGTTTTTACCTCTGGGAGAAAAAAAATTTAGAAAAATATATTCAGTGTATCTAATACTGAAATCAGAAAAGATTTAAAGTCATTGACATGGGAAAGAGATTTAATGTTAAAGAAACTTTATATTAACTGAGTAACATCCTCCTGATGAGAAGTAGTATATTAAATATAAACCCATTATGTTGTAAAAAAAAGAAAATTCATTAATTGCAGTTCAGTTTAAATACTCTTTAATTATAAGACAATTAGTTCAGGTTCTTTTCTGGTAGATTCATTTACGTGCTAGAAAACAAAAGATGAAGAAGACAGACATAAATGTCTAGATTGTTACTAAACTGAGTTTTCACTTAGAACTACTTCTGAAAATATTTCATCTTCACTTGAAGAAATTTTATCTTTATGTCAGATACTTTACTCAAGTCTACAGATACCAAAATCCTGTAGCCAGGCTTTTAAAACTAGGATAGCAGCCAAATTAGTACCAATGTCACTCTAGAATTTAACAGGTATACCATTCCATATAAGATTATAAACAAAACAATATTGTTTACTTTTTAAGTAGAATCTTCTTAAAAATTAATCACTACATTATCATGTTTACTTCTTAGAAGAATATTTCCTTGCATGCATTTGGGTATGTGCTAAGTAGAAAATTCCATTATTTTGAGAAACAATGAATGAAAGCTTGCAAAGTTAAAATGAGGACTTTACAACTCTGTCTGCACCACATTTGAAGCTGAGAAAGAAACGCACCAAGCAAAAAATTTGAGGCAGTATCTTAGTGAATTAAGACAACTCATCTACAGTAGAGTATCTATTTTAATAACAGCATTAAAGTGTGAAAACTTTTCCTGTTGCAAAAACATTTATTAGTCAACTGAGTTATTTCAGAATCATCCTGCACTATGCTTTAGTAAGACAAACAGTTAATGAGTTACTTGAGGAAGTTAAAAGTGTAGAATTGCAAGCCTTAGGTCATATTCCACCATCCAGCTCACTATCATGTTACTGGGAAATTAAGATCTCTTAGAACTGTTCTTTGACTTCACAGTAATAAATGCATCACAGCCTGAAGCAAACAGGGTGTTCTTTAAAAAGCCATCAGTTTAGATGTTTTTCACAATTTTTAATACCTATGTTAGAGTCAGCAATTTGGTGAGCGATAAAGTCAATTATCAGCTCTGCCAGTAAATCTCTTGTAACTTTATTTAAAAAGGTCATACTAACCTAGTACATTGAGCACCTCATGCTCATGACCATCAGTGACTTTCCCAAAATATGCTAGTTATTTGAAACTTAATTTCAACTCTTTAATGATGAAAAATACAGCCATGCCCCACATAACAATGTTTGGTCAATGGCAGATTGCATATATGATAGTGGAAAATAAGATTATTATTTCTTTTAAAAATTGTACCTTAAATATTTAGATGCACAAATACTTGCCATTGTGTTACAGCTGCCTGCGTATCCAGTAGAGAACCATTCTGTACAGGTTCGTAGCCTATGAGCATTAGGCTATATCATACAGCCTAAGTGTATAGTAGGATAGGCCATCAAGGTTTGTGTCTATGATGTTTACACAACTATGAAATCACCTAACAATAAATTTCTCAGAATATATCTCATTGTTAAGCAATGAATGACTGTATATGTGACTTATTCATTAATTGACTCAGTCACTTATTAACTGCCTACTACACGTCAGGTGTTATACCAGGTAGGGAAATAAGATATTTTATTATTTTTGAAGAACACATATCTAGTTGTGGAAAAAACATAAACAGAAAATTATAATACAATGTGATATAGAAATATATTATTTATAACATTCCTAGAAATGGCATTTGTGCTGGTCTGGAAATACAAATATAAGTTTTGTCAGGCAGCAAACTGAAGGAGGGATATCCTTCAGATATCCTACTGTCTTTGTTATAAATTAGTAAGAACAATTCACAAGTTAAATTTCTAGCATGATAAAATTAAATGAAGCAATGTAACAATTTTAGTACATGACATATTCCTTACACTGTTGTTAATATCAGGTGATTTACGTATATTGTAAATTATTTTCTTCTTAAGTATCATATGTCCATAAGTAACATTAATTCTTTCTTTGTTTTAAGGTTCTTAAACTCTTTAATGGTTTTAAAAGTTTTCCAGAGGTGATTGAGTACACTTAGAGTGGTATGGCCTTAGACTCTAAAAGTTTTTAAAAGTCTTTCTGCTAGCAAAATATGCATAACAAGTTTAATAAGCAATTTTTCTGGGTATAAAAATAAAACTTCTTTTTTTCTAAATGGCTTCAACTCTGTTTTATCAAATCCCCCTGACTAATCTCTTAATGATACCTCAGGAAAATCTCATAGGTTTTCAGTCGTATTCAGTTATTTTAAATTCAGCCAAGTTGACCTACTTCTGTGCATCAATGTCCCTTCCCCATCAGTTAGACAGCTTGTGGTCCGAAGGAATTGAAATGGGAAGGGAAACTCCTTCCTTCATACCTAGTTAGAGCTCTTGACGGGTAAGTATGGTAGAGTCTTCTTCAGCACAGGTATAATGAACTATAGAGTATGAACTTCATTATTTGTTTATGGAAAGTCAATGAATCTATTAAGACTTTTATCTACCTTTACCAATTAAGGCTTTCAGTAATGTATGTCTTTCGTGAACTCAGAATACACAACTTGTAGTTTGTGGTAGTGGCTTTATAACTGTACAACACTGTTCATTCAAGAAAGATTTTTTACTTACTTACAGACACTGTATGATGTAGGTCAAATGATAGCATACATACACACACAAATAGATTTCATTTGGATGTATCACATTTTAAAGAGGTGAAACCATGGTGCTAGTTTGTAAAAACAAAATATTTCATTTTTATTGATGCAAAATAAATGTAAGTGATCTAAGCCTCTAAGTATCTCAAAGTCCCCAGCAGTATTAATAGTTCAGATTGACATAAACTGACCAATACTATTAATAAAAGGAAATGTGTACTGAGTAGGTACTATGTGCTTTTGTGTTAAGTGATTTATGCATTGCACTTAATCTAGTTAATAATCTGACAAGGTGGTTAGTAATATTACTCACATTTTACAATATGAAAACTGAGCGTGAGTGGTCATTACACCAGTTTAACTTTACCTACCTGCTAAGAAAGCCTTGAACTCTCTTTCAAAAGCCAGCTGAGCAAGCCCAGTAGGCTGACTTGACCCATGGTGTGCATACAGATAACAATACTCTACACTTAATAATTGGTTAAAAGGGCAAATTTCATGTTATGTGTTCTTAACCACAATATAAATAAATAAAAGTAATATGACACAGTAATATGTAGCCAACAAAATTACACTTTCTGTGAATTTTAATGACATGAAAAAATGCATATGATATAATGTGAATGAAAAAAGTATTATACAAAACCTGATATACAATATGATAAAAATGATGTAAGATATACATGTGTGTAAAATTATATATAAGAAAATCCATAAATTCATGTCTATTTTATGGTTGTATGTTACATATAGTAAATAAATAAGTGTATATGCATATGTACATATATATTTTTTTTTTGAGAGGAAGATTCACTCTGTTGTCCAAGCTGGAGTGCAGTGGTGCAGTCTCAGCACACTGCAACTTCCACCTGCTATGTTCAAGTGATTCTCCTGTCTCAGTCTCCTGAGTAACTGGAATTACAGGCATGCACCACCACACCCAGGTAAATAAATATTTTGAAAAAATATTGTTCCAACCTTAATATTCCTAGTCATTAGTTTTCACATATTGCTTATCTGACTCCTTTTCCTCTCCACTTTTTTATATCTAAATACATTTTAAACAATGATGCTAGTTATGCTGATTTTTGTGGTCTTTAAAAGAGGTAAGAAGTGAATAATATCCAGCTTCTCTAGCATTCAAAGAAGCTTTCCAAGAAACCCATTTCAGTTTTACCTCATGGGGATCCCTGAACATAAATAGAAAGGATTCAGAGCATACTACTACAGAAAATCACAAAACCACAAAGTAAGACAGCAAGAGAGGAAGAAAGAAATACAGTCTTTACAAACAACCAGAAAATAAATTATGAAATGGCATTAGTAAGCCATTGTCTATCAATAAGTACTTTGAATGTTGCCATGGTTTGAATGTGCTGCCTGAAGTTCATGTGTTGGAAACTTGACCTCCAATGTAGAGGTGCTAGGAGGTAGGACCTATGGGGAGGCACTTGAGTCATAGGGCACTGTCTTCATAAATGAGTTAATTCCATTGTCACTGGAGTGAGTTCCTTATAAAAGGATGAGTTTGGCATCCTCTTGCTCTATCATCCATGTGATACCTTCTACTGTGTTAGGATGCAAGTAGACTTTTATCAGATGCCAATCCCTTGACCTTGGACTTCCCACTCTCCAGAACCATGAGCCAATACATTTCAGTTCATTATAAATTACAGAGTTTGTGGTATCCTTTTATAGCAGTACAAAGTAAACTAAGACAA